TACTGTTTTTTTGTTTTTATTGTTGCAAATTTTCATTTATTTTATTTTTATCAAGAACTATAATGAATAAGCAAATTGAAAACATTAATGCATATATGTTCTTTCCACTTTTTTATATCTTTAGAGTTTAGACCACTATAGATCAGTTTCTTTTTACAGCCATATTTTGTGTGTGTATGTGTATTCATATAATTTTTCCTGTATGAAATGAAATATATTTATTATTTTTGCTTAGACTTTCAGTTCTACAATTCCCCCATGGCTGCGGGAGACCAAAATTTTCAAAAAGTTAAGCAAAGCGTTGGTGAATCATCTTGGACTGACATTGACAAAGGAAGATCTACAGAGTGTTGTTGATTTAATGGAACCATATGGCCAAATAAGCAATGGGATAGAGCTTTTGAGCCCTCCACTTGATGTAAGAAACTATCATCGATATGGAACAAATCAGTTTCTTCTTACATTTTTTGAATGTAGTTGCAGTTTGAGTTTTCTCTATTTTAGAACTTGAAAAATAATTGACTTGCAACAAAAAGTTAACTTAATGAAGTTTCTTTGTTGTTCAGTGGACAACGGAAACTAAGTTTCCACATGCTGTCTGGGCAGCTGGTCGTGGTCTTACTGCTCTTTTATTACCAAATTTTGATGTTGTTGATAATCTTTGGCTTGAACCTCTATCCTGGCAGGTTAGTCATACTCATACTCATTCCTAGCCTGCTATATGTAACCTGAAAATATTATAGCAATGCTTTCTAGGTATCAAACTTTTTAGTCACTGTATGCAATATAATGTGTATAGCCATGTGATCTACATTATTTACCAAAAAAATATGACTCTTCGTATTTACTTGATAAAATGATAGTTTCTTGACAATTGTGCAGGGAATTGGATGTACAAAAATCACAAAAGCAAGAAATGAAGGTTCCATCAATGGGAATTCAGAATCAAGATCGTATCTTGAAAAGAAGCTTGTGTTTTGTTTTGGTTCTTATGTTGCATCCCAAATGTTACTTCCTTTTGGGGAAGAAAACTTACTTTCTTCATCTGAGATACAGCAGGCGCAAGAGGTTTGTTTATATTTTACTTAATGCAGCTAAAATATCTGCTTATTTTTCATATTATAATTTATTTGAAAATGGTAATATTAACCAATAAAAGTATAAAATTCTGATCATTGTTTCCTTTACAACAGATAGCTACTCGAATGGTCATTCAGTATGGGTGGGGACCTGATGACAGTCCTGCAATTTATTACCGTAGTAATGCGGTATAGACATTTTTTCATGCATCTCAACTACTATTGTTGAATTAAATCTTCTTTTTTTCGTCTTGATTGCATGGCATTGAAAGGTTAGATTGAATTATTTGGTAGGGTAATGTGTTACTTTCTCAAATGGCGTTAATAATATTCAATATGGTCACAAATCTCTTTCTTTTTCAAATGGCATTAACAGTATTATTTTTTTAATGAAAACAATTTATTGAATCGCTAATTGAGCAAGTACACTCTAACTTGTAAATGAGGAAAAATAAAAAAAGGGTAGATAGACAATCTCCCACAAGAGCTTGGTGATGTGGAATCTGGAATGTAGAACATAATAGAAGCACAATTAAACTAATATAGTCCATAATTTTTGAATTAATGCTTCAAGGTCCATGTGAATTTGGTGGATCCTTGGTTTAACTGCCATGCATTACTTGCTCATCAAATCTCATTAATCCAATATTTTTTCATGTTCCAATAAGATGTCTAAAAACTAATGTGCTGTATACTTTTCAAATAAATAAAAATCACAATACTTAGTCATTTATATTTTCCATAATTTGGTGTAAGATGGACACGAGAGCCCCTTATAACGCAATGGCTGTATTGATGAAATCACTTTTTTGTAGGTTTATTGATTTTCTTTTGGGGTGTACAACTGTTCATAATTGAATGGTACAAGTGTTTCATTCCTTACTCATGTGTCAATTGATCCCTTCAAACACATATCTCTTCAGATTTGGGCATTACTCAACCAGGGATTCTAGCTCTTTGAGTAAGGCTATCCCCCACTTTACACACTATTTTGGCCATATGACTAGCCAATGTGGGATCTCAGTACACTACATACACTGAGAAATTGAGCATGAAATTTTTAGAACTACACATATGTAGGTAACCTGATAACAAGTGACCTGATTGGCCCAACAAGCTAGCTCATGGAGTGAGGGTTCCCCTCTTTTATGTTATATCATTTGTCGATATAGGGTCTCTAGCAATAACCTTTATGTGTGAACCACTTACTCTTCTGGTTTGGCAAGTGCTACGTAGTCCAGCTTTTAGAATGCCGGCAGAGGTCGTGATTCTTTAATCTTAATTTTTACAATGAGTAGAGAGTGCTGCATTTTGAATCTGAGAAACAAAACTTTTGCTTGAGGGAGTTACGATCAATGAACAGATGGAAGACTTATGAAGCAACTGCATAACAAAGGAAAAATGTTTATTAGTTTTTGTTTTTTAATATTATTATATTGTAGACCTTTTCTTATGTTTTTGCTGAAATAGGTTACTGCGTTAAGCATGGGGGATGACCATGAATATGTGATGGCAGCTAAAGTTGAAAAGGTAGCCACATGTTTGTAGAAGTTTAACTTCTTGTATAAAAAAACATCTAATATAATCTTTCGTAATATAGATGTTCGATTTGGCATATCTCAAAGCAAGAGAAATGCTGCAGAAAAATCGCCTCGTACTAGAAAAGATCGTGGAGGAGTTACTTGAGTTTGAAATTTTGACTGGAAAGGTAATGATTGTTAGTGTTGAAATGCTGTATTTAGTATTTTGTTCACTTGCATGTCATACTAAGTAAGTCTTTTAATATCTAAAAGAGCACGAGTGTATTTTTCAAATTCTGTTGAAGGTGCCCATTTTTTGTTGTAAATTTGGTATGTCATTCCAAATAAATAAAATTCAGCGGCTGAATTATTTACCACAATTTGTGATTCATTCTGACCTCTATGAAGGTCTAGTTTTATGAATTTAGGAAAAATTACCCATCTTAAAGTGTAATCTCTTGATCTTACATGGTTTTTGCAATCTCTTATCCCCCCTTTTAAGTCTATTATCGTGGTCTGCAAAATATGAATGGTAGGTACCTTTTAACTCTGATATTATTTTTTTGCTAAATCAAGTTTTTTATATTTGGTTGGAGTATTAACCAAATATTTTTAACTAACTAAACACGATACTAAAATATTTGTTCAATGAACTCAGTCAGTTCCATTTGTAGGGTTATTATCTAAACTTCACTGCATCTCTCGATCATAAAATTCATGTAGTATCTATCTATTATGTTCTTGTGCTTGAAATACTAAAAGTAGCAGTAATGTATCACATCAAAATTCCATTATTATATTTGATGTGCCAGTGCAATGAGCTCATTTGGTGTTTGTCTAATTTGGGATATATGGGCCCTACTGTTTCCCCACACTTTTTCATTTTGCAATTTGTTGTTTCATGTTGGGCATGATGAAAGTTATTTCTCGATTGTTTATAACATGGTTAATCACCCATCTAGCAGGATTTAGAAAGAATTACTAAAGATAATGGTGTAATCAAGGAGAAAGAGCCATTTTCTCTTGGTGAAGTTCAAGCTAGTGAGGTATATGATTATTATCTCTAAATATGAGTTGAAAAAGATTTATTTTTATAGAGAATGAAAAAAATCTTGAAATTCAATTTTTGAAAATTTTATTCTGAATACCCTGGATCTTTCAATTCTTCTGGCAATCTTACCGGAGTGTATAATCTTTTTCCTGCTTTACCTTGTCACTTTACATGAAAGGGAGCTGATACTAATTTTCCAGGTTTTGGTTTTATTGGTAGTATAGTAGTTGGCTTTTGCCTGTGGGTTGTTCTTCGGATGTGTTCAGTGTTATTATGGATTGAATTGCATGTCAGTCTGAGTTTGCAAACTGACATCCATATGTACAATGATATTTTAATTTTTGTATGTAACATGTAATATTATTTGTAATGGGTGGTATTACGTATATAATTTAGTCAATATCCCAATTGCTCCATAAATCTAGCTATGGACCTATCTCATTTGTGTTTCCATCAATGTTTTCCAGCCAACATCTATCAGCTTCCTTGAAAGAGGAAATTCATCAGGAAATGCTCTACTAGCTTCCTAGATTAATGGGACAGTATTGGGTATGGGACAGTTTGAGGTGAGACTCCTGTTCTTTTTATTATCATCATTTTTTTTCGAGGGAAAACTGTTCATTTGTACTTGGACAAATGTGCATAGCTTCCGATACAACATACACAAATATCATGTTTGTTGGGATGAGAAGAGATACCAGTTTTCCTTCTCGGCCTTCGGTTCTTGATGTCAGCCAGATCCCAAATTTTTTTCCTTAGCATTGTAAAGAGAATTGTTTATTAATGTTATTGGACTTTTTATCCTATACACTTCTGCTTGATTAACATTTCTTTAGTACTTTGAAGACATGAACATATCAGCAGAACAGTATGTAATGGTTGTGATTGCATTTTCTTCCATATTGCTTGGTTTAACTCGTAATATCTTCAATCTTGGAAAGAAAAAAAAAACAAAGATAGGTATTTTTTCATCTTTTTAGTTTAGAAAAATTTTACATTTCCAAAATGACTACAGTTTAATTTTAGTTATGGAATTGTTTTCTTGTCATGCTGCGTTATTGACACGGGAGGCACCAAAAAACTTTCTGGCTTAATTTACTGTGCGGCAGTTGAACTAGTTAAAACGAAGGCATAGCTAGAAGGAACTAGTTTGAGTTGAGAAACGATGAGCGCAGTAGACAATTGATTGTGAAAGAGAAAAGTTATGTTAACAGTGGAAAATTGCCAGAAAAAAAAGTGTGCAAATACTAGAGATGGGTCAAGGTAATTAAAATGGTGGTAGAGTTAATGATTCGATATACAGCCTTTATGCACATTTTAACTACTTTTATTGTTGATGAATTGATTATGATTCTGAAATGTCCGTTTCTTCCTCACTTGAACAGAAAAATAAGAAAGAAAAACTTGTCTAAATACATGTATTTACTATCTGATAAAAATTTGATGGACGTAGGCAATGCATACATCTCAATTTGGAGGCCAAGGGAATTCAATTTTTTTATTTTATTTTTTTTGCTCATCACTAAACAACTTGCTACAAAAGACTTATTACTGGGGAGGTAAAAATGGTTGGCTTTTCCGTGCTACTGCTGTCTTGACCCCCATTATGGCAAACACTTTTCCTTCTTGGCTTTGCCTCTCCAAGCATTGTGATGATGTCTCTCATGTGAGGTCTTTCCTTAGGAAGCTTTGCGGTACATAGAAGTGCAATCCGGAGTACAAGCAGCATTTCTTCTTGGACATGTTTGCACTGACTAGCTATAGAAGGATCTAGTGCTTCTAATAAGGCTTTATTGTTTTTCTTTTTCCTTATCCATTCGACTATGTCAATCGATTCTTCAAACGCAGGGTCTAAAGGCATTCTGCCAGTTAGGAGCTCCAAAAGCACCACCCCGTAGCTGTATATGTCAATCTTCTCGTCAACCTTCAGAGTGTATCCATATTCTAAACCAAAAGGCATAAGCATGATGTCAATCATCTATTACCTCTCACTTTCACTTGTTAGAGCTAGAAAGATGCGAAAACAGAAATTGGTGCATAAATTGCATACTAATAGGCTTCCGCCTGCCACGCTAGACTAGATTAATTAACTTTCGGTGTTTTAAATATACGTGTTTGCAATACATAATGCATAAATAAATTGAATAACGAGAGCTAAGTATTAACCTGGTGCTATGTATCCATATGATCCGGCCACCATGGAAACTGTCTCATTCTTTTGAATCATCATCCTTGCCAACCCAAAATCTGCTATTCTTGCCTCTAAATTTGCATCAAGAAGTATGTTGTTAGACTTGATATCCCTGTGAATAACTGGTGGGTGACAATCATGGTGGAGGTAGTTAAGCCCCTGTGCAACTCCAAGAGCTATGTTGTACCTTGAGACCCAGTCAACAAGCAACCTTGCAGATTGTTCACCATGCAGTGCTGTTCCAAGATTCCCGTTAGGCATGTAATCGTAAACCATCATCACATCCCTTTCATTGTGTACATACCCCAACAGCCTTACAATATTCCTGTGCCGAAGTCTCCCAAGGAGTTCCACTTCTCTTAACATATCATTGCCATTTTCTATGTCTGTCTGTGACCTCCATAGTTTTTTCACTGCTACGGTTACATGAGGCCTATGAATTTCAGCTTTGTAAACAATACCAGTGCCACCCATGCCTATGACATTTGATTCATGTATGCAAGTAAGGATGTCACTACTAGTGAAACTGATCCTCTGGAATGCCACTAATCTCCAGGGCCAATCTTCATTGCTATGTTTGAACCAATCATGGATAAAATTGTTATACAAGTGCCATCTCTTGTATAAACATCTACCACCAAAATATACTGCACCAAGAGCTAATATCACTGCAATGCCAGTCACAAAACCAATAATGATGTGTCTGATATGTGAGCTCTTTCGATGACTAGTCGCAGCCAAACTTGGAGAACATGGAGGGAGAATGCCCCCACAAAGACCCGCATTGCCGATAAGATCATTAGGATTTATAGTCATCAACATCCCATTTGAGGGTACTGGACCCTCAAGTTTGTTATAGGACAGGTTCAGCATTTCCAGAGCTGGGGAGCTGCCAAAGTTTTCAGGTATCCTACCAGTCAAGGAATTGTTGGATAGATCAACAACAGACAAAGTGGGCATGTTTGTGATTGATTTTGGGATTCCACCTGTCAAGTGGTTATTTCGAAGGTTAAGGTTAACTAATTTTTCACAAGAAGCAATACTTTCAGGAATTGTGCCATATAGAAGGGTGTTTGAAAGATCCAGCACAGAGAGAGATGGACAGTCCTGGAACTCATCTGGGATATTTCCTCCAAAATTGTTATGAGAGGCAATGAAGGTTTGAAGGGTTGGAATAGAAAGAATATCTGACGGCAGAGATGACTCAAGATGGTTCCAAGAGACATCAATGAAAGAAAGCGATGTGGATGAGGTAATATCTGTAGGAATTTTCCCAGTGAAGTTGTTCTTTGCCAACTCCAGCCGTTGAAGGCCAGGGAGGTTTCCAAAGCCAACCGGAATAGTTTCAGAAATAAGATTGTTCTGAATCCGAACACGTACCAAAGACAAACAGTTTGCAAGTCCACTTGGAATGGAACCAGTGAAGGAATTATTGAAAAGGATTAGTTTAGTGAGATTGCCTGTGGTACACAAACCTGGAGGGATCTCCCCGGATAATGAGTTAGAGGATACATCCAACCACTGCAAAGGAGAGTTAAGTCCAAGGTTTTGAGGCAAAGGACCCTGTAAAGAATTTTTCCATAGCTCAAGCACCTGTAAATTTTTCAATTCACCAAGCTTCTCGGGTACTGGACCAGTTAGTTTGTTAGTCATCAGATTTAAGAGCTTCAGGTTTTCCAAGTTAGCAAGTTCTTCTGGAATCTCTCCTGAGATTTGATTGTCAGATAGGTCCAAAAATTCTAGTGAAGTAATGTTGCCAAGTTGAGGTGGAATTTTTCCTGTGAAGTTGTTGTGGTACAAATAAATTGTGGTGAGTTTTGTCAACTTACCCAATTCCGGTGGAATTTGTCCGCTGAGACTGCCTACAGCCAAGTCAAGGTATTGAAGACTAGTCAGGTTGCCAAACTCTGCAGGGATCTCACCTTCAAACTCATTGTATCCTATGATTAATATCTCCAGAGAAGTGAGTTCCCCAAGATAACCCGGAATCCTCCCTGTGAAGTTATTGCCTGAAAGACCTAGAAACTTGAGCTTCTGCAAATTCTTAAAACTCCTGGGGATTGAACTCACAAAGTAGCTCCCTCGAAAATCAAGGCTCTCAAGCAACGTTGCATTTCCGATATCCTCAGGAAGAAAACCTGAAAAATCATTGCTTGATGCATTAATTGATCTCAAGGCTGCAGCTCTTCCAAGACCAGTGGGAAAGCTGCCAGTGAAGTAGTTCTGGCTCACATCAAAGCTCTCGAGAGAGGTGAGGTTGGACAGTGATTTGGGGAGTGATGAAGCGAAGTTGTTACAGCTTATGTTGAAAGAAGATAGACTTGAAAGAGATTGAATGCGGTCCGAAACACAACCACTGAGGTTCATGTTGGAGAGGTCAAGACTCACTACAAAGCCTTTAGAGTTGCAACCAACTCCAGTCCAGTTACAATGAGGTGAACCTGTCACATTGCTTGGTAGTTGCCAATCCTTCAGATGCCTCATTGGGTCAATAAGAGTGGATTTGATTGAGAGAAGAGTTGACAATTCATCATCTGCTGCAGCTTCAGTTAAAACGAGTGAGAGGCCAATGTAACAATAGAAGAAGAACAGTAGATGGGTTTGCATTTTGGTGGTTGTTCTCTTGACGTTGGTTCCTCTTAAACTTGTTGCATTTTTCATAGCAGGGAACAAGGAATGAAGGGGAAGCCAATGAAGGGAAGGTTATAGGAAGTTCTGAGGGACAATTTAGTTTATAGTTAATCTAATCAGTGACAGATAAATGATCAGCCAAAGGACAATTATTTTATTGGATATACGTGGGTACTTGGGATCTGAACCACCTAATCATGTGCAACTTGATCACTGTCAATCTTTGGACTCATTTGAGATCCCCTAGACATCATAACATGCGCAGAATGTGTTCCAGAACTGCTTATAATGTCAACCCAACCAGTAATTTACCGGGTGCAAGCATTCTTTATTTAGGCATTCCATAACTTCGCATATTCTGTTTTCTGTTTTTCCTCCATTTATTTAAGGTACTTCAAGACAGTTTTCAATAGTAAGCACATTAATGAAATAATGATTCATCAGTTAAAACCCCGAATGCTTTCTTCTCTGTGAGAAAGATTATAAAATATATTTTGGTTGAATTTTAACTGGTCCAGTGCCATAGTGTATTCTTCAAATCAATTCTGCTTACGTGATTTCTTATGTTAGTATTAGAGATAAGGTATGTTTTAACTTTTAATATAAAATCGTGAATGGGTGGCAGTACAGGGAAGTGGGGTAGGTTTTGCCTTTCCCAACCTTGATCTCATCTCTTTAAACCTTTTCTTGAATCTACTTCTTCTTTTTTTGGTAGAATTTCATATTTTTGCTTGATATGTATCAAGTACATATTGAACTAAATAATACATAAAAATAAACTTTAGGATCAAGAAAGAAATCAAAGAAAAATATCAATGCTTAATTTTATTTTAATCATTGCGATATATTAATTATTATCATGATGGAAGTGAGAATTTATATCTCGAACTAGCCTCACCTCTTAACATATACGACAAAACTCGATCCCGATCTCAAATTTAGTCAAATTGAGTTTTATTCATATCAAATTTGAGGTGAGATAAGATGGATATTTTTGGGTACATCAATTTTTAGGTGAATTGACTAAAGTTACATGCATAGGTGAATTGACAGATATAGCTACTGGTACGATACCCCTTTTGAGCAAATATTGTATGATGGTCTTTACTAAGTAAGAGGAGTTGAATTTTAGTATATTCTCAACACACAGCGTAAGCGGCCCAACATAATATAAATGCAAATAATTAAGAATTTTTTGCTTTTGTATCACGAAATTGTATCATTTTACACATTAAACTAGTTATTTATCTAGAACAAGCTAATATAGATTAATATTGAGTATGAAAATCCATCGTGGAAACAAGACAGTTTGGAACTTTCTCTTCTCGAGTGTGTAACAGGAAGAGGGAGATGTGCAGTAGTATTTTATAAGGGAATGTGTTATGTGACAATCATTGTCTGCACCTACCAAACCCCATTCCCTGTCATAAAGCTCTGTGTCCCATTCTATGGCCACCACATGGGCACATCTGGCTCTATGCTAATTATTATACATATATCGCATAAAATTTATGAAGGCATAACATGGAAGGAGATAACATTAATGTATTATACATTCTATTTTTCCAATCAAAGGTTAATAATTGGATCCATAAACAAAGAGAGGGGAAGGGCTGGAAGCCATGTGAAGTGGGGAAGAGGAATAGTACTTGATTCCTCATTATTGGAAGTGATTTCACCAAAAGAAAAAAGGAAGCTGCTTAATGCTAACAACTATGTCATACGCTATTATTTTGTGCCCGTTTTGGAATCCACGAAAGGGAGAAAGCTTAGGTTCCCCACATCACATGGCTCCACAACCAATACCTAGGCCCACCACCGCCATTAATCATATCCTTCGCGCAGAATAATAATTTATGGGCAGCCAAACTCGAAATTTTGGCTACTCTTTTACGCCTTACAAATTTATTTCCAGAATTTTTTTTTTTTTTTTTTTTTTTTT